TGTGAATTTCGAATTGGGGTTCTGCGATGCGCTTTTAATTTTGACAATTTCTGGGCAAGGTTGAGAGACCAATTTCTGCGATGGGTTTTACACCTGATTTCTTGTGGGTTTGTTGATTTCGAGTGAATGACAATGGGTTATTCTTAGGTGGGGTTGTTTCAAAATTTGAGCCATGGGTTATTGATTTGGGGGTTCTGTGATAAGTTTTGATTTGAGTTCTAATGGGTAATTCTTTATTTCGGTTATAATGATGAAGTCTGGATATAGTGGTAGTTCTTGATTTGGGTTCCATTGATGAATTCTTGATATAAGTTCCAATGGGCAATTTTTAATTTGTGTTGTAATGGTAAATTCTTGATTTGGGTTCTAATTATGAATTCTTGATATAAGTTCTAATGGGCAATTCTTGATTTGATCAAAATCTGATCCTACACTTTTCTGCACTCCACAGAGTTTGTTTATTCAATTTCTCTAACAAGCTGTGCACATATAAAGATACTATACACTCATTTAATCAATAGAAGCATATAAAATAATCCTATAATTGTAATGTTCTTAGAAGCATAGACGAATCAAATTCTGGTTTTTTTCCTTCTTGAAATCAATTAGGAGCAAGGATTTTGAACACATACATCAACAACAAAAAAGAAAAGCAATTGCTGTTATTGGTAGAAAAAGAAATATCCAGCTAATGAGCTATTCATTTGGTTTCTCAATTGTTCTTGTGGTTGTAGTGAAATCACACTAGAATTGTAGTCCCATTTTTTCTGTTTTGTTTTTTTTTCCTTGCATTGCAGGTTTTTTATGGAGTAATCTTGTTCGTTTATGTCAGTCTTGAAGTCGGACCATCTGCTGTACTTTGGATTTAACATCTTTGGTGGTGTTTGTTTTGCTATCATGGAACTTCTCATTCAAGTGATCATGTTTGTAGTACTCTTTGGGCCAACTTGTGCAATTTATTGAAGTTAATAATCAATTTATGGAACACCTGCTCTCAAGCAATTCTATGTGAAAAGGCTATTTGAATACAAGGCCAACCTCTTT